CCAAGAATAATGGCTGTGCTTTGCAGGGGAGAAGCCAGTTACAGACGCAACTTTTTTGTCAGGGCTGACAATTTCAGATGATGATCCTTTTTGTGAAGCCACAAGATCCTCAGCTGAAACAACCAAACCACCACCATTGTCAGTTCCACGTACACCAGATGGGTTTGGTGGAGCGCGTCTGTGGATGTCTTTGGTTGTAGTATGCTCTGATGGGATTCTTCTTGACATGCGAATGTAGTGTATGAAGATAGCAAGCAAAAGAAGAATGAAGACAGCAACCACACATGAAACTATAATAATTACTTTGACAATTGTGTTGATCGGTTTCCTCTTCGAATTTTTAGTTGGGGAACTGGTCGATCCAGGAGGACCATTTGGAAAATGCAAACGTGTGTTCCCCGGATAGAAGGAAGAACTTGGAAACTTTTTCAAATTGTCTGGGACATCTCCAGAAAGATCATTGTATGAAGCATTAAAGCTTTCAAGACTGTTGGGGAAGTTATTTGGCAAAGGACCTGTAAAATGATTCTGCGATATGTCTAATGAGCTTAATGTGGTCATGTCAGTGATGGAAGTCGGCAGAGAGCCAGAAAAATTATTTCTCGCCATATTAAGCTCTTTAAGTCCCTTCAATGAACCAAAATGATCAGGAAAATAGCCACTAAGCTGGTTCTGAGAAAGATCAAGAACCTGAAGATTTGACTCACTTGACAAAGGAGATGAAATGTTAATAGAGCCAGTAAGTAAATTATTATGAAGGTGGAGTTCTTGCAAAGTGGGCATTGCTAGCAACTCAGCTAGAACAGTTCCATCTAACTGATTAGAACTGAGATCAAGGACACTAATCTTTGGATACTGTGTTATAACACTTGCTATGGAACCACCAAGAGCATTATGGGAGAGATTGAGATAATTTAAACGCAGAAATTGTGGGGTCACAACAGGAATGGGCCCTGTCAAATGATTTTGACTCAGATCAAGAAATTCAATGTTCCCCCATTTCACCATCCTGGTTAAGTTTCCTTCGAATTTGTTATCTGATAGATCAAGTACAGCACAACTTCCAGTCAGCAATGGCAACTCACCAGTAAGCCCATTTGAGGAGAGATTGAGGATTCGCAGATTTGTTGATGTAATCATATTTACTGGTCCTGAGAGATGAACTTCAATGAGAGAGGCATACTAAAACACACTAAGCACAAAAGACTAAAGTAAAAGAAGCCACAAAGACACTTTTGTAACCAAATAAACCAAGGCAAAATGTAGTAAGTAAAAGTACCTGAGAGATTGTTGCCACTCAAATCTAGTTCACTTAAAACTAGAGAATCTCCTTTTAATACACCATTAGGAATATCTCCAGTAAATCTGTTGTTGCTGAGTTTGAGGACTTGGAGGTCATAGACAAAATTAAATCCAGGCAATTCCCCTGACAGCTGGTTGTAGCTGAGATCCAACACCTTCAAGTTTTCAAACATCTGTAGCTCACCCCCACTTACCAGTGACCCAGTGAGCTGGTTGTGGCTAAGATTCAAGTACTTAATAGTCTCAGAAAGACGAGGTAGAAATTTCTGCTGCTGTGAACTGGAACTAGAAAACATATTGCCACTAAAATCCACATGAGTGGCACTTGATAGCATAAAAAATCCCACATCGATATGACCATCGAGCATATTCCCATGCAAGTCAAGCACATCAAGACTTGAAATTAGTTCAAACCCCTTGGGTATTCTCTTGGTAAATTCATTTAAAGACAGATTTAGAGATACCAGATTAGACAGCTTTGTCAACGATGTCGGAAGTGGGCCGGACAAGGAGTTGCGACTCAAGTCCAATGACTGGACTGAGGAAAGCCCTGAAATCGAATCTGGAATAGAGCCCGAGAAGTTGTTACCACCTAATGAGAGGTTCCTTAAGCTCCCTAACCTACCAATTCCAGGTGGTAAAGATGAAGAAAATAAATTATTGGAGAGATCAAGAAACTCAAGGCTTTTGAAGTCGGCTATGTTGTCGGGAATCTTCCCCATTATCGTATTATTGGACATGGAAAGTTTCACCAGCTTTGTTAGATTCGAAAACACGCTCAAGTCCACATCCGCGGAGAGACTCAAATTATCAAGGACAACTCCAGCAACATTTCCACCATTACATACGACTCCATTCCAAGAAGAAGGACAGCCATCAAAGTCAATGGATTCATCATTCCACGAATTGAGGACATAACCAGTGGGATCATGCTTGATACCCTTCTTGAACTGAAGCAGAGCCAAAATATCTTGTGAAGGGAGCTGCCCCATGGCAGAAATAAGAAGAAGGGACAGCACTAAAAGCCGACGGAGCATAGTTGGCCTATCAATGGCTTCACCCAATGGAAACAAAAGCTCAATGTTAGAACAAAAATGAAACTTTAAGCTCTATAACCAACAAATTCAAGCAGGCACGACAATATTCCCAGGGCCAACTACAGTACGATACAGAACCCTGCAATGCTTCCTTTAATTTCAAGATAATGAGAAATAGCTATCTATGTTCTGAAGGAAAGGGGTATTTTGAGCTCACAAATCCAGAGAGTGAAAGAAATCCAACTATTTTGCTAACTATTTTCCAATAAAACAATGGTCATGCCACACCTATCAATGAACACCATGAGTGATCAACAGTTCAGAAAGCAAACAATGAGTTGGAATCACACATGCAACCAGAACCCAGCATTTTATCAAAATAACAACTTTTCCTAAGAACGAACCAAATCTTTAAAGTTCAGAGCTTCAAGAACCGATTCTCCTCTCCGAAGAAAACAAAAATGATTTCAACGATACAGCACAGCTTCAGACTACACAGACTCAAAGCAGTAAATGACAGAAATAAACAACTCAAGCTGAGTCACCTTTAAAGATCTAACAACATCTTCCTACTACGACCCCATTTTTAGGAACAATGTGGCCCCGTACAAACTAACCCTCTAGAAAGACTCAAGCTTTGAAACAAACCACACTCTGAAACAGCTACAAAATTACACACGGGGATAGTGTAACCTTACCTCCTCCACATTGCTTCACAGTGCTCAGCACAATCAGCTACAACAAACCCATGAACAAACTAGAAGTCGGCTTCAAATTGCAAATCAGGCTGCATTAAGGAATGGGACCCAGGAGAATTTTTAACCACAAAAACCCTAAAAGAAGTACCTTTGGCTTCTTAACAGTCCAAAAACCTTCTCTTTCTTTAATGAAAGTTAAAACAAAAACCTTTAGAAAGGCAATACCTTTGCACTCCTCTTTCTCTTTGCACTTTAAGACGGGGCATGTGCAGACACTATAGAAAAAACCAAATGGTTCTGCTCTGGGTAATTAAACAAAAAAACCTAGCTTTGTACCTTTCTTACTTCTTTTTAATGGTAGAATTGAGAAAGTAAGCGGGAAAATGCAAGGGGTTTTTAGGGTGTAATTTAGGGGCTTACCCGCCAAAACAGAGGACAGAATCTCTCACTTTCCTAGTGGACGCCAAAGAATTTATTAAATCCAGTTTAAGATTTTCACTTTTTGGGGACTTAAAAAAAGTCTGAGGAAAGAGGCATGGAGGGTTGTGTGGACAGTGCCATGTAGGACTGAAGGGGGCTCCACCACTGCCCCCTTGACCAGGTTCTTCACTTCATTCAAGTTCCAATATGACCCAAGAGGTGGAGTAGGTGGATGCATAATGATATGGTGTGGCAATAGGACCCAGAGGCATACCAGCAGGACCTTTCTGATAATGACACGTAGAAAGGCAACCCACTTCCCACAAATCATTTGACATTTTCTTTTTGGAGCAGAAAAGCAAATTGACATTACATGAGTATATAGTCCCCTTCTCGTGAGTGCAACCTACAGTTTTTGTTGTGTGACTTGTTGGTATTTAGATCGAGAGGACCACAAGAAAAGGAGATGGGCAATTGTGGTCCCCACTTGAAGACTGCATTGTCCTCTGTTGGGACAATGCCAAAACCATTGACAGTGCTCTGGTTTTATTAGACCAGTTGAAATCAGAGATGAAATTATTATGTGGTATAATCCAAACCAACTACAAAATTTTAACTCAACGTGCTCATTGTGTTTCTCTTTCTTCCCCCTAAGCAACAAGTATGTTGTTATGTTTGCTTTTCAACATCTGCAATTCAAAGTTTGACAAGGTATCTTTTACCAAAGTAAATATGACGATGGGGTAAGGGTATGGCCAAACCAAAAGGGCTGAGAAGAGCCAGGAACCACCCAAAATAAAAAATCAACCCGCTACAGTGTTGGGCTCAATGCTCGATAGTGCAAACTTTATCGTTGGTAAGTTTTAGTGCTAAGTTTGGAACCAATAACAACTTGAACCTTTTTCATTTAATAATTAAAATGTCCCCCTTTTTTAAATGATTTACTGGGTAGGGAGAAATGGGAGGGGAGTGGAGGGGTAAATAGTAGGAGATCGGGCAGAGGTAGGTTGAGGCTGCCGGTGGGTGGCCCCGCATAAGAGTCTGGATGAGAAGAGAGAGAGAAGATGGATTTTTTCCGGCTGAGATAAGACTTGGAACTGCACCATTATAGCACGTCCTTTTAACTTTTGGCTGAAGTAGCATTTGGTGGAGCGTAAAGGGATAGATTCTCTTAGGTTAAATCTCAATGTAAAAGGTTCGTACAGAAAAGGTCTTAAGAGAAAGAAAAAGATAAAAACTTTACCTTAGTAAGGGGGAGAATCAAAGGAAATTCAAATTAGAATCTGGATGAAGAAAATTCAGATAAACGCGTTATGCTTTGTATCATCCATTCACTCTCCATAAGCCTACAATCACAACTTCCAAAATATATCGAAGAGTGGCAACCGAACTAGATGAACAAAAATTTGGCCAGGAAATACAATAACATGTTACAGGTAATTCATCATTTCACGATGCAAGTATACAATCATATGATCCATCTCCAAATGCTCTCTCTGAATCAGCAAATTGATATATGCTATGCTGGAGAGGTCTAACTATCTCACTTCTTGCCACCCCCCGAAACATTAAACTTGAAAAATATCACATCTGCATCTTGGACCACGTATGTCTTCCCCTCCTGTCTGTACTTACCAGCAGCCTGCGAAGAATTGAAAGAGCATGAAATAAATTAGGATGTTAAACCCATTATAGTTCCTCATAGAATAGAGCAAATAGGTCATGAAACATCAGAGGGCCCTCTTCGGAACCTATTATTCTAAAATTCAAAGCTATTGACACTAAAAGCCTCTGGGTGAATTCCATAAAAAAAACACTTATGAAGGCATCTGAATTTCCAATCAATACAACTTTTCAAAACTCATTAGTCCTTTCTTTTTCCAGTTCATTATATACCGTAAACAAAATACAATATTTCATTTCTCTTCATATGCTAGATAGTACCCTTTCTAGTCTGATGTAGCTTCTACTCTCATACTGACCAGGCAAGGTTTGTAAGAGGTGAACCTCAATTATACAAGGAATCTGGAGCAAGTAACATTTAATGACTTGTGGTAGTCCTATTCTTGATACTTGAAATTGGAAATATCCGAGTCCCTAAACAATTGGGGAGTGGGGCCGCAGACAAAAAGCAAGAAACTAAGAAAATTCAATTTTAGCCTTCTACTCATGTATGATTCTGCCAAATGAAGGGGGTAAAAAAACCCAAAACCAATTATTCTGTAAATTGGTATCTTGGTAAGAAGCATCATAATCTTACTGATTCCATGATCTCGTCAGTCCTACCAAATCCAAATACTGGGTGATTTTTAGGACAGTGTGAAAAGGCCATCTAAGGGTCTAGGAACACAATCCTACGCTTTGGATCATGATCTAAAAGACCATGTCATGGAAGCAATGATATGATCAAAAAATAGTTTTAAAGCATATATATTACATTGGTCAGAACATATCCCATACCTTAACAGCCGGCTCACTACCTAGTTCTTTCAGATCTTCAAATTTCATCACCTGTAAATTTAAAAACAGGCAGGAGCGCTTTAGTGATTATAGCAGAGAAGCAACAGTATAACGGTTATAGCAGACAGGACAGGATGTGGTGGTCCCTACAACAAGATCACGATAATAGAAAGAATAGTTTGTTGATGCATTAGCCCCATATTTCAGAAAAGAAACAAAAGAAGGGGCAACGGGAAGGTGATAGCTCTTCAGTAGCAAGAAGGAAAAGAAAGGAACAATCTTTAACTTTTTTTTCTTCGATTTCTTTTTCTAAGCATAATTTTGAATAGAAAAGACATTCACAAATGAAATTTCTTGTATTTGTAAATCGTATATTGGAATTAGAACTAGTAAAGATATTACTAAAGAAGAATTATTTTCAGACAAGATTGAATATATGAGGTAGGAACAACCTCAGCACAAATAAACCCTTTCTCGAAATCAGTATGGATGGCCCCTGCAGCTTGAGGAGCTTTTGTCTGCCGCCTAATTTGCCAGCACTTCACCTGCCAATGGTATTAGTAGTGGTAGACTCAGACCAAGTACATAAAACTAAGGCTGTGTTGGAGCATGCTGATGACACCAAAAGAAATTACTTACCTTTTTGGTGATGCTATCAATTTACTACCTCAATTATGACATTTAATTCTTAAAATTTTCATACAAATTATAATATAAACAAATTTTGCGCCAAAAAAAAAGACATTAATTAAAAAGAATGGTAATGAGGACAAATATTATAATATTTTACCTCATCAGGACCGGCAGTGAAAAAGTATATGAGATTAATCGCTGAAAATCCAGTCTTTATGATCTTGGTAAGGGCACTGTAGCAGATTTGATCCAGTCAGCATAGAGCATAGACATTTGATATTACATGCATATCTAGTCTGTTCCTACATTGCAAAACTCTAAGGGCTTATTTCCAATATACATTAGGCAGTAAGGGACTCCAACTACAATGACCAATCTGATTTTGGTAGTACCAACGTATATAGGTTACTCATGATTCAGGACAATAGTAACCAGTCTGTGGTTTAACCCACTGTAAAAGATTGCCAATGACCCCCAAACATGGACAACAGTATCAACACAACATAGAAATAAAAACAGGACAAATTCCCTAAAGGATAGGTTAAGAAGAAGAGACAGCAGTGTGTGCCTGTGTCAAAATAAATATAATTTTACTTTAGCTACTATTCCTTACTAAGATAACGAAAGATTTAAACTATATGTCAGGAGTCATTCAATCCTCACGACATATCAAGGGTTGAACTAACCTTTGTACATTGTTCTGCTCACAATACTTTGCTGCTTCCTCTGGTGGCAAATCAGCAAGATTCCTTTCTAATGCACAGCTGAATGGAATAATCGGTTCACCTCCATGTTCCTGCACCCTGTAACATGGAAAGGACAATGTTACCTTCATCACATGATTACTTTCAAGATTTAACATATTTAGTCACATTTTAGAGGAAAATGGTAGAATAAGAACTAAAAAAATATTTTAATTTAATTTATAAACACCTTAAATCAATATATGAAGTATGCAGTTTAAGTATTTCATAGGAAAAACAAACCTGTTTGAGTAAATCAATAGTATGAATCCTAAAGGATTCATTCATAGCAAGGCAGTTTGGTCAATAAAACACGTGAAAATTGAAAAGGATGCCAAGTGTAAACACAAAACAAGTTGCACTTTCTTGTATGGACTAAACCTACCAAACACACAAGGATGAAAACACACTGGCAAACACATGCAAAAAATACACAGAGCAAGAGAGAGAATAGAGAGAACAAATATTTCAGAAAGTTGGCCATACCAAGCATGGATCTTTGGCAAGAATTTGTTCTTTTTCCTTTGGTAATCTCTCTCATTCATGTTAACCTGTGGAAATGATATAGGTACAGATATCGCCAAATCGTCATCCACACATAAAATAGCTAAATATGAGAACCTGGTTTGGAAGGCCAGACTAAATAAACATAAGCGCCCAAAAAATGTTTAGCAGCTGCACAATTTCTATAATTTGACAGAGAATCTGATTTAGAACCAAATGTAAGAAACTGGAACGGTACTTTACATCTGGAAGTCAACCCCTATGGACTTTAGTGAACATTTATACAGGTTTCACCAATCTTTCTTTATATGAGTACAATGCTGTAATTATGGTCTATTGGAATTTCTGAAAACAAGGTCAATACTATACAACTCTTTCATCTGATTTTCTTTGAATGCCCCACCACAGATTCTTCACATGATTACACTCCCTTTAACGTCCCATCACATATTCTTCACATGATTACGTTCTCATACAGTTTTGAAAGAAAACATGACATGCTCCTAAAAAAGGCAAGACATTAAGATTCCAACTGATTCAAGAGGAGGTCATGCAACCAATAAACCAAGACATTCATTTACAAGGAAAAAATATTTATATCATTTACATACGCCTATTGTACGAAAAACTAAGGAGTAGAAGATAGATATAATATGCACCCAGTATAGAAAAATTACAAAGCCACCATGGTAACTGTTCCTGGCAAGACTGTAACTTACCAAGTAAACAACAGGCTTGGCCGTTAGCAATTGAAAGGTATTCAGGATCTCGACTTCAGCAGCTTTCCACTCCCCTAGACGGACATCTTTTCCATCCTCAAGCCATGCCTTGATCTTTAGATACGCGATCATTGTTCAATTTAGTAAGTAACAAACAAAAACAAATCCTTAAATACATGCTAAGGGATATTATAGATTCTAAAACCAAAAGTATGACAAGCATAGTTCTTATACTAATAAACCATGAGTAACAAGCTTCTATATTAATTACAATACACCAGATACATTACCATGACATAAACAAAAAGGTTGCACGTCAAAGTCAAGATTCAAGAATATTAAACTAAATCATCTCATAAAACAAACCTTTTGGCATAGCTCATGCTCAATTTTTAACGCCTTTTCATTGCTCCTCTTCATGCTCTTTTCAAGATCTTCTATCCTCCTCTCCATGAATTCAATATCCTAGAAAAAAATAAGATATAACTCTCTTAAAAATCTATATGGACAGATAAGTTGCAACTTGAAAGATAGAAAAGAACAAGCATAATGAGATTTTGGAAAGTAAGAGTAGAAGGGGAGCTACAGGGTTTAAATGCATTAAGTCACACTCGCACAGAGAAAGCGAATAAAAAATGATGGTTTTAAATATAGATCATAAAAAGCAACCAAGAATCAACCAAAGTTAGGATATCACAGACAAGTAAAGCACACCTTTAGGCGCAATTCTGCACTAATAATCTCCAAATCCCTCACAGGATCCACAGTATCATCAACATGGATGATATCCGGATCTTCAAATGCACCTAGAAAAATGGTTAAAGAGAACAGTGAATTTCGTAGTAGCAATACATTCATACAAGACCATTACAAGTAGGACAGATGAGGAGTCCATCAGATCCACCTCCTCAACAAAAACACATTCTGCATTCAACTTCAAACTCTCCCCAATCGAGCTGAACGACACTAAAAGGAATATTGAAAAATGCTTTGACAATGATGCCAAACAGAAGTTAAAACTAATTCCATCCAAAAGCAGATCCATTTCCTCTGCTTTATCATTAAAAAAACCTATTGCTTATTTCCATCCAAACAGTCCACATAAGAGCCAAACTGCACACCACCAAAGAGAATCGTCTTTCTGGCCCTCATATCCAAGAAATTCTCCCTCAACAGGAAATACAACTTTGAGGACCAAGCCACACCACTGTGAAGGTGAACATGCACAGGGTCTTCTTCTTTGAAGCATGTCACGGGTCACAATTATTTATGTTCTCATGACATACTAAAACCAACTGAAATTTGGATTGTACTGTGTATACCAACCATCCAATTAACTTGAATGGCCCAAAGACATCATAAGTTAGAGAAACGCTGTGACCTGTATACACATTAACTCCCCTTAGCCACTATAAGTGTTTTACTCCCCTCATAAAGAAGATTCTTTTTTAGTTTTTCTCAAACTTTAGCTACACTGTCCATCATCCTAAAGATAGACATGAAATAAATACGATACTACTCAAGACAGACTAATAAGTCTCCTCTTAGTTCTTCATGTTAATATTAGAATCAACAGTTATTTGGCTGTTACAGAAGTACTATGCCTTCTAAGATAACAACATTCAAGCATGTAGCGCATCGAAAGTATAAACATCTTACGTAAAACATGAAATATGCCATCAACAGCACGGATATGGGATAAGAAACTGTTGCCCAACCCTTGTCCTTCGTGGGCACCTCGAACAAGTCCGGCTATGTCATGGATTTCTAAAAAAGCTGAGACCTGCATATCAAAATGAATTGCACATGTTTAGAAAAAGTTCAATTATATGCTGAACAATAAGCTTACCTACCAAAATGAAAAATCCAATTGCCTTTGTCAAAAATAATATCACCATTCATATAAACATATTTGGTTGCAGAAATAGGTCATTAAAATTGTGTTAGTAACCAAACAGGTAGATGGTCTGTTCCTACTACAGTACCATCAACATTCACGAAAATTGCCCAAAATACTAAGAAGGGGGACCTAAACTTGGGATCCTATGGTGACCTGTCAATGTCCACCTGGTATTTTATTTTTCTTTAGTTGGTTTTTTCATCACTAAAAGTTTTCATTTATGCCCTGGTGTTTTTAGATTATTGCAACCATCTAGGGAATCTATTGCTTGACAACCAACACTCAAGCAGCATGTTAAATGAATCTGTTGAAATATGTTAAGCAGTGGCATGCAATAGATGGTAAGGACTAGACTGATGAAAAAGATGCCAAACACAGAAATACTAAACAACTCATAGTAGGGTTCAATACATGGTAAGGATTAAAATCATAGAGATGCAAGCAATGACATTGAAGGGAACAATGTTAGTGCGACACAAGAGACAGCAAGGATTAAAACGGGAGGACATGGCAGCAACGGCAATGATATACAAATAAACAGAGTGCAAAAACTATCATGAAAATTCAAGGGAAAAAAAAAGGTCTAATAAGAATCAAGAGTCTGAATGGAAACGCCAAAAGGCAATCCATCGAGTATCATAAGTTTAAAAAATTGTCATAGTCTGAAAGATACCAAAACTACCAGCCAAACCTGATCTCAGTAGTTAGCAAAAAACCATAACATAAGGCTTCCCACAGTAAATCAAGTCAGAGACAAACCTCGCTTTTTGGCTTGTATAATTGACAAAGCCAGTCAAATCGCTCATCGGGAACATTGACTCGGGCTTCATTGGGTTCAATTGTGCAGAAAGGGAAGTTCTCAGCAGGTATTGACAACTTTGTGAGAGTGTTAAAAAGAGTAGATTTTCCAACATTCGGCAATCCAACCTATCCAGAAACAAAAGCTTAGAGTACAATCACTTCATCATTTGCAATATTTAATTACTTTCCTTTTTAATGTGGACTTGCAAATGCAACAGAAAACTACAAAACTAAGTACAATTACAGCTCAACCTGAGAACTCAATAATTGGGGTAAAATATTAAATTGAACGCAAAATTTAAAGAAAAGTTTCATTATATATATTTAACACGCATGATGCTGCGCTTTAAAAACAAATAAATGAAAAGGTCATAATAGCTCAACCCAAAAATTAACATATGGAATCGGCATCGCTCAAAATTGTCTTACACGCTAATGAAGTGAAATGACCCAATTTTTTTTCATTTCCTGTTCATTTCCTAGTTTTATGGGGAATCAAACAGAAAAATAAATGGAGAAACATAATGAACAAACAGGGATATGAGCTTACAATGCCAATCTTAAGGTGAGATGAGAATCGGCCAAGGATGGGTCGCTCAGCTGGTGCTTCCTTAGCTTTTGCAGATTTGGGAGGCATTTTGAGATTATGAGCAAGACGAAGAGACGAAGCGAGCAGCTGAGAGTTTCTAGGGTTTTGTACGGAGTGAGGTGGTGAGGTGGTTTAAGGAGAAGGGAGAGTAAAAAATTTCAGTTATTAGTTCTGAGCTTTTTTATACCCAACGGTTCGAACCCTAGTGAGCAGTTGACACGCACACTCGCATTTTATGGACTTTATTTTTTGTTTTTTGTATATTAAAAAATAATATACTTATGGCATGTTTACGTATCAGTAATTGGTATATGAGGAAAGGGAATGATTTCTATTCCTGACTTCCCCTGAGTTTACTTGCAATCAGGAATAAAAAAATAAGTGGGCCCCACCTCAAAATCCGTAATCACATTCCCTCAAAACTGGGTATCAGATCAACTATGGGGAGTAGTCGATACGATTCTCATTCATGTTTTCTCTTATTAACTTCCAAAAATACCCTTACTACTTTACTATAATTCCAAAACAACTCAAACCCTAAAATAAAATATAAAAAAATTACACGCTAGAAGGAGAATACACGCCAGAAGGAGTTCAAACAACTCAAACCCTTAACGTTGCAGACACAGCCTCCCTGAAGCAGCAGAAACTATGTAAGTCACTCAATCTATCTATCTATCTACCTTTTTCTTCTTCTTCTATCTTCTGTCTTCACAACTCAACCCATAGTGATTGCTGCTGCTTGGAGTTTCAATCAATGGATATGTGATAATTACTAGAGTCTCTCTTCCACTCTATAATTCTACATACAGGATATGTGATAATTACAGACAAATTAGCAAAATTGCGATCCATTGATTAAATTAAAAACGAACATGGATGACACTTGACACTCACAGACAGCAACACAATGACACAAACTCACATGTAGAAATATATCCATCACTTTGACTTAGGCACTCTTTATTTATACTACATATGCTGTCGTTCTTTTCCTTCTTCTTTACGTTCATCTCCTCTCCAATGTCTCGAATCCTCAAAGCTTGGCCTGGTCTTCACCGAGGCTATGTTGCTGCTTCCCCTTACTTCACTTGTGCAAATCATGTTTACACCGCATTATTGAGAATTATATATGTGTTGTAGTGAAAATGTGTAGGGCATTTTAGTAATCAAATTAATTTGGATTTTGATTCATGAAAATTAGTAAACAATAACAATGGGAATCAACCCCATTCCTTAACTAATTCCGTATGTTTAGTAAACAGCGTAATGGGAATGATTCTTCCCATACCGATTCAGTAGTTCTCCGATTCCTAAATTCTCTGATTCCTTCCCATACTCATTACTGATACGTAAACATGCCATTAAAGCATAACGCCAACCGGATATACTCTTTAAATAGAATATCTCAAACGTATAGCTGGACGGCTATACTAAATAGAATAGCCAACCGGCAATACTCTATAAATAAAATATTTTAACAAAATAGCCACGGCGATACCCTTCAAATAGCATAATCCGAATTTCTCTTTTTTAATTACTTTAATTAGTAGTAATGTTTTAATTATTATTTACATAATGAATAATTAATATTTTATAATTTTATAATTTTAAAAATTTTAAAAATTTTAAAAAATTAATTACTATTTATTAAATAATAGGATTTACGAAGTAAATTAAAATATTTAATACTAATTATTCACTAAAGAACTAATACTAATGAAAGTAATTAAATAAGTATTATTTAAACCGTATAGCCGTGCGGCTTGACTTCATAAATAGATATTTAACGGTATTGCCGGGCGGCTATACTCCATGAATAGGAATTTTCACAGTAGAGCCAAGCGGCGATACTCAATAAACATAAATTTTTTACAGTATAACCGTGCAGCAATACTTCATAAAATAGAATTTTTTTTAACCATATAGCCGACCGGCTTACTTTACAAATCGAATATTTAAAACGTATAGCCGACCGGCTATGCGCAATAAATAGATTTTTTTTTCAAAGTATAGCCGTCCGGCAATTCTCTGTAAATAGAATATTTTAAATGTATAGCCGCCCGGCTATACTCCATAAATGGAATTAGTTTACATGTACAGCCGCGCGGCTATAGGCCATAAATAGAATATTGTAAGAGTATAGCCGAAATAGAATATTTTAAAAGTAGGCTATACTCGATAAATAGAATGTTTTAAAAGTATAGCCGCGCGGCTATACGCCAACATGTCTCCATGAAACAATCAATGGAAAGGCACCAAATTCACAGACCCAATACTAAGCAAAGCCTCTTTTCTGGGTAGTATGTATTTGATTTAGTAATTTGTTTTTAAGTTTTATAACATCAAAATTCAGTTTGACTTGTACAGATTAAAAGATCTCTAGGGTATCTTAGTTTACAACAAAATCTTGTGAAATTCTAGCACAAGAGAACGTAATTTAAAATTTTGGTCTTTGTGACTCTCAACATCTTCATAAAATCAAATTTTATTTTTTAATTGCCAAATGAAAAATACTTTTAAACTTGCAACCTCATTTAGCTTAATCTTGGCAAAAAAATATATTGGGTTTTTTGGAATTTTTTTTATTACAAAAAAGTAGGCTTGGATCTGGGGTGCAATCTTGGCCCAATTTTGGCTGATGATGCAAAGGCTAGCCCACTGGGCTTTTATGTTTCGGTCAAAAGACTCAAAACCAGACCACAAGCGTCACGTTCCTATTCGTCGAAAAAGCAGCCGTAGATTCGTACCTCTGTTTCGGAAATCTAAAGACGCCCTGAGAAGAAGAAACAGAAAGAAAAGAAGCAGAAGCAAAGGCCGTGTCAACAGAGAATCAGAGATACACAAATTTCGGTCACAATTCTCGCCAATCTCGATCACCATATAGATTTGCAACCGCTGGTCCGGCAAGGGCTGGCTTCGTTGATGCAATCACGGCTCTAATCAAAGCAATTACTCGTAGCATTAAGATTTCAAGGGGCAGAGAATGCATGAGAGCTTTTTCTAAGTCTTTGTTTGCATGCCCTTCGTTTCACGGCGGTCGCGGTGCCCTACCCTCGGCCGGTGGGCATCCCTCCGATCTTACCTTCCTCGCCGGCGGTGGCTGCTGATAGAAACGACGACCGTACAACTTTCCCCTTCTGGGTTTTTTGCCATTTTGCAAAATACTTCGTTTTTTATTAAGCAGTAGACATGGTTACAGTGGAGCAGCTTCAAGACGACAACTTTTTGTCTCAGTGCCCTCCTCCACTGTCGTTGCAAGGTTTGTGCTTTGATGGGTTTTAGCATTTTTTATTGATTGTTATTGGGTCGTGTCTGATTTTTCTTCTTGTTATGATTACAATTCCCGTATTGCTTTTCTTGGTTGGTTTATAGTATCAGAAGGACTTCAAATTTTGTTACTTTTATCTTAATAAAGGAATTTTCTCAGGTATAAGAATCCCTTTATACCGCTTTGGTAGCAATTCTGTATTGGATAATGGTTCTGTTGGAGGCATTTCATGCTTAATTGAAGAAGAACAGAGTGTGCTAGATTCTATTCTTCTAGCGCAGGTATGGAACATGACAAATTACAACCCTGCTACTTGTAGATTTATGTCATTTAGACATTGACTTACATGCTTCTTCCTACCTTGTAGTGGGAAGATCGAATGTGGAAAGGTCTATTCAGATATGATGTGACAACCTCTGAAATTAAGGTCTTTGTTATTAACAGCCTGATGTTTCTTTTAACTTGATGATTAAGTTAAGGCACTTATAGTTGGAGATACTTTATGGTTTATGCAGGTCATTGGTGGCAGGAGAAAGTTTATTGCTCAGTTTAATGAAGGATGGAGTAGGGATTGTATGCCAAAGCTGGGCAAGAACAAAATCCGCGACCAAAAAGATGTGTTTGAGTTTAGTTGGATGGAACGCCAGGAGGAGTTACTCTTCTGTGTTGCAAGTGGTGAAAAGTTAAACCCTGAGCTTGTTCTTTCAGCTGCCGTGCCTGATTGTGGCTTATTGATTACTATCAACGTAAGACATTGTTTATCTTTTTTCAAATTTTTAGTGCCATGAATGGTGATAAATTGATAACTAGCGGCTGTTAAGTACCCCAACCAAATGATCATAACCATGCGAAGTGGAGATGTTTAATTGTTTTTCTGAATTGTTTTTATTTTTATTTTAATGTAGACATTTCTTTAGAGGCTTTTTAGGACTTTGGTTTTCTAGATATGCCAACAGCATTTTACCTTGGTAAGAACTAAATGATGCTTTGCTTACTTTTCAGTCATCCCCCGTGGAATATGGCCATGTCTTCCTGGTACCACATAGCTCTTACATTCTTCACCAGTTCCTAGATGCAAGATCCTTGGAACTAGTTCTGCGTGTTGCTGTTGAAGTAAATAATTGCTCTTTTCGCCTATTCTATGACTATTCACCTAGTGCTTCTCATATATATTTCCAGGTATAGAATTTCTTATACAAAGTATTATTTTATATCTTATGACATATTTGGTAAGGTAAACTGATGTTTTAGTCGCCTGTGCTCGCGATTTATGGCAACATCAAGAAATTACTTGTAAAGTCACTTTTGTTAAAAACTTTTCTGTTCAAAGATAGAGAAGTTTGGTTTACCGCATTTCATCTTTTATAGCAGATAGAATTAGAGCATCCAACCAACAATGGGTGGAGAGGCCCATGACATGTTTATACTCTCAATCTCAACTCAACAACAAACTGAGTGTGTAAAATACATTTTGTGTGCAGGCTTGCTACCTTCAAATCCCTTTACCTGTTGAATTCATGCCTTTGGATACTTTTTTTGGCGATGGGCAAGAGGGGATGCGTATCTCTTCTGTTACAGATTACCCCATTAAGACTCTCGTTTTTGAGAGCAACCACATGAATATGATGATGGAGGTTCTTGCTGAGATATGTTCGTGTTTACAGGAAAAGCTCATTCCATATAATCTGCTGATATCTGATCATGGCAAAAGAATATTTTTATTTTGTCAGGTAAATGGTTATGGTTTTATTCTTAACTGAAAACATCAAAGATGCTATTTATTGTCTGGGTTCAGTCCTGTAACTTTATTGTGACAGTGGTAAAACATGTACCATGTAGCTTTGCATGTTTATGTGTGGAGATGCTTTTACGTTTATAAGCATGGTTAATTGATTATCTTTTTTTATTATAAAAAAAAATGTTCAGAACTCTAATCATACATCCTAAGTTTGATGGCTTGTCTGCTGGTTACACATTTGATGTGCATGCTTATCAGGAATTTATTTTGTTTGTGCAGCTACATACATCAAAAAACTTTTGTACCCTTTCAGCTTGGGAATGTGGGGGATACTTCGTGGTTAAGTCAAGGTCTGAATTTGATCAAGCTACTGAGCAGGCTCTGCTAAAACAGCTAACTACCGTCTCCCTTGATGATGAAGGTTTCCAAGGGGTGAAGCGGCTCTGTTGCACCATTGCCAGCAAGTTTGCTTCTTGAATTTAGGAGCTGTGTTGTGATGAGATTGGGAAGTTTCAAGTTGTCTTTTGGAAATAGACGCTCAGCAAGTATAGATCATCTTTTCCTTTTTTTTGAAACAGAAATTTTCGCTATGTGATGATATAATAATTGCAATGACTGATTTTTCCGCATAATAACAAGACAACTTTCAAACTTGCCCCAAAGGCTCAGAAAGCAGCTACATGGTCTCTGTTTGAGAACTCTCAAATGTATGACCAAAGGCAATTGAACGTAGCAGGCTGTATTACAATGAATGGTTTGAAACCTACAAATATAACTACAATAATAGCAAACTTCAAGTTCATATAGAAGTGAATAAAACAATATATGAAAGAATTTATAATGCAATATAATAATGAATATAATTTCACTTCCTCAATGGCCATGCATCTCAGCTCCATCTTCTGTAGATTCATTTGATCCTCTTGTAGTAGACTTTCTGCTGCAACCAGTCTCTTCATCTAAACTCGGAGGTCCTTCTCCCTCTTCTGCTTCTCCCTCAACTATAGCCCCAAAAGCCTGACTACTTGTAAAAGAATTGTCTCCAGCATTGGTACGCATCCAAGCTTCATGGAGCTGCAAGACATACTCCAAGTGCCACAAAACTTCCCCCAATGTTGGCCGGCTTTTCCCCTCGTCGGCAAGACATTTTTCTGCTATCTCCCCAAACTTCTTCAATGACTCCGGACAATAGCTTCCTTCAAGACGGGGGTCAAGGATGGTTTCAAGTGCCCTCTGTCGTTGCCATTTCATTGCCCATTCTGCAAGGTTGATCTGATCTTTTGGCAAGGTTGGGTTTATAACAGCCCGAGCACAAACAACTTCAAACAGCACTACTCCAAAAGAGTAGACATCGGATTTCTCTGTCAACTGCTGTCGTCGAAAATATTCGGGGTCAAGATATCCAAAGCTTCCTTTAACTGCAGTGCTGACATGGGTATGGTCCAAAGCAGGACCAGTTTTAGACAACCCAAAGTCAGACATTTTTGCTACAAAGTTTTCATCTAGCAGTATGTTGGTTGTCTTAACATCCCTGTGGATGATCCCCCTCTCTGCTCCAGTGTGAAGGTAATGGAGTCCTCGCGCTGCCCCAATGCATGCTTCTACTCGTAGCTTCCAAGTCAGCGGTGGGAGATCACTCCCGAAAAGATGGCTTCTAAGAGTCCCATTTGCCATGTACTCGTAAACCAAAATCATCTCATTTTGTTCTTCACAGAAACCAATCAAAGAGACCAAATGCCTATGCCTGAGCTTCGAAAGCATCTCAATCTCTGTCTCAAACTCAGCCAGGCCTTGCTGAGATTGGGGGTTGGCTCGCTTGATTGCTACGAGAGTGCCATCATCAATCTCCCCTTTGTATACCTTACCAAAGCCTCCTAGTCCAATCACTAAACTTTCATCAAAATTATTGGTTGCCGCACGAATCTCTGCTAACATGAAACGCTTGCCAACTCTAATAGAGGCCACAGAACCATATGGATTCTGACTTCCGGCTGCTCCCTTGGCATTGGCAGTGCTGTTTACAATGGAGCCATTAAGGAACAATGGCCTCCACCCAGCAGGATTGTTTTTGGTTTCACTTGATTTTTGTCTCCATCTATTGCAGAAACAGAAAAGGAGAGTAGCAAGAATGGCAACAGAAGCTATACCTGCTCCAACTCCCACCCAAAGAAGTTGAGTTTTTGAACTCCGTCTTTGAGGTGAAGATACACCTCTACCATACTTCTCCACATAAGCAAGATTCCCATTTCTACTGAGCTTGAAAATCTCCAAGCCGCTCAAGAGAGCATCAGTTCCTGCAGCCCCAGCTGCAGTGTCAGGACCCAATTGAATCCATAGTGTGTCCACTTTCGGAGACACCACATCAAAAAAATCCTGATGATACCCTTTGTTCTTCCCCCCTGCCCGGACAAAAACATTGAAATTATCCGCTGCAGTCCTATTGTTTATGTAGATTCTGAAAATCCTCTGGTTTTCCTTGTCATAAACTAGCTCACAGAAATGCAGTCGAATTAAATAATCAAAATCAGGATCCACTCCAAATTTCCACGACATGTTGAACTTTTTCTCCAAGACTTCAGTGTTGGACATAGTTCTTGCACTTTCATACACAAGAAGAGGAGCCACTGAGGAATCATTCACAGACGAAAAAGTAATATTGGAACTGTTTTTTATTTCGAACCCGGCATTTGCTGTGATCATGTAGCTAGAATCCACTTCCCATGTTCTCCAAAGATCTGAATCCTGACTGGGATTAATTTCAGAACCCCCAACATTCAACCTATACATAGTTTCAATCCCTTGCCAACTTATGTTTTGATTTGCACCATTTCCACCCACTTTACTAACTGGTCCTGCAAAGAGTGTATCTACTACCGGAACAATTTCGATTGCATTTATATATCCAAATGATCCCTTAGCTGGGATGAACTCAATGACAAGTAAATCCAAGTTGATGGCCAAAATGTACTCCTTAATCAATGAAGAAGATGAATTGCTTCCTGAACTCCGCAAGTATGCATTCTTGTTTGATATCTCACCATGAACACTGAATTCTGACAACAGTTTTAGACCATTTGCCACAACTCCAAATGAAGACTCATTTACATTGTAATTATCAAAGGAGAAAGGAGAGAAATGGAGCCTGACAAAATAGTTCCCCTTAATACCTTGAAATGTGTAGTTGAAGCCATTGGTGAACACTCTGGCTGTTTTGTAGAGTGGCCCGTATGTTGAATCATCACTTAAGGTAGAAGTGGATGCAGCAATGCCTGAGGAACTCAGAGTGAGGTTATTGTTAGTGGCTAAGTCACCAACCCATTTCCTCCCACTCACAGTGATACTGGAATTTGTGCCACAGTTTATCAGAAAGGATCTTGATTGAGCTTCTCCAGTCCTTGTAAATGCAAAGACTATCGCCAGAAAAAGCAGCCCAAATATATCCCTGCCGAGGAGACCCATCACCAATCTCAAAAAGAGTTATCTTTTAGTGCTTATTCAAGAACCAAGGAAAGGTCCCAATGGAAAAACAATAACAACCCAATATCCACTTGAGCACAATCTATACTAAAAGCATGAAAAACCCAACTCATAAAAAAATGCAAAAACAAAAAGGAAGACTCATATAGTAACTCAGGTTTGTGGGTTTCTCAATAACTCGAAGAACTTGCCCTCACGCTCTAGCAGAAACATCAAGTTATCTTCATCACTCATCTAATTGCATTTGAGTTTCCTTGTTTTGCACCATTGCTGCTATGAAGAAAGACTGGTTTTTGGAAAAAACCACCTGCCTCTCTCTTGCACTAATCTCTCACAAATCAACAACAAAAGATATTCAAGATATGAGGCAAACGTGGGCAACGAAAGGAGGCAAAGATGACAAATTTCATCACCAGTGAGACTCAAAATCAAGAAAAACAAGGGGGGAAATAACTTGGACTGTGCTTCTGCAATGGGATTCTCTCTGAATAAGAAAAAAAAGAAAAAGGAAAGGGAACATGGGTTGTTGTTGGAAACAGATTGGAAAAGTTCATTTCATCTTGCTTTGTCTTGTATCTTTCCACAAGAGCCAAGAACCTGACAAGTGACAGCATTAATTTCTGTACTTTATTATTACTCTATTGTAACTTCTGTAACAGGTGGAGTTTCTTTATGCAATTTCATTTCTTTTTTTGGTTAAGTTATTTATTTTCTTTAAAACCTTTATTTTTATATTTATCTATATGTGTGTGAGAATTGCAGCGGTTGGCTGCCTGAGATGGGGTTCCATTATTTATGAGGTGGGTCACATGCTCGTGTCTGGGAGGAGATGATAAACAGTCGAATAATTATATTGTATTTGTCCAATTATTCTTTTGACATATTCCAATATTACCCCTTGATTTTCCAATTATTTTGTATTGCTCATCCGTACTTAAAGAGTACCCATATAGTCCTTGGTACTCTGAATTTTGGTCAGGAAAATTAATCTTCTTCTTGCCATTTATTCAGCCATGTTTCTCTCTGTTCCTCTGTCTCTGGCTCTTCTTCTTGGTTCCATGAACCTTCCATGTTACATTTGTTATGTAATCTGCACAGGCCCTGGCTTTGTCTATTTTCATTTTTTAAAGGGGGCAGCCGGACAAGTTCTTAGAATTATATATAAAAACGATGAGACCATCTCAACCTGTCTTTTTTACTGAAATTGTTTAACCCAAAAAATAACATCTTTTGTCTTCAGTTATCGATAAGAAAACAGACTTATAAACATACTCTTACTGTAATTTTATACTACAATTCTGTATCACTTTACGTGGCATATGACGAATCTTACAAAATAAGTAATTCGCTGTTCTTTTTAAACGAAGTTTGAAATTTGGATTGATTTATGATTTCTTGTTTTAAATATTCAATCAAATCATACTTTACAAACGCATGCAAAAGGAAACATAGCATCTAATAATTTGATTCACAGCTCATCAACTGATAAACAAAGCTGCCAAAAACAGTGAGAAATATAGATCATATGACCTTTGAAAGGGCAAAGACTTTTAGGTGTAAGTTGGCATCCAAACTTAGTAGTCTTTGAAAATCTGTTCCCTTGATGGATACATTATTAGATAGGATTTCACTTGTTTTGTTTTTGAACACCCTTTCAAAAACTTATTTTATTTTTTCTGCAGAAAAATATGGAAAATAATTCACAATAATGCTTAGAATGCACACCAGAATGTTAATGCAACCCCCACCGACTTGATGATTCCACTCCACCTCAATGCTTGTGATGATCACTAGCTTAATTTGCTGAAATTTTCTTTGTCATTGAAATCATTCGATCAATCATTGTCTGGAGTGCAGAGTCTTACTAAATACAAGAAAACAAATGTGGTTATAATAATCTAATCCAATCCCAGCTTCAGAAGAAGAAGAGACCCACAAAAAAAATGTATAATTTAGATTTGATACACCAACAACCTTTGAATATTTTATCATAATTTATATGGTGGGTGATTTCATGAATCTTTTTTGTCTTTCAATTGGTGAAATTGATGATATAGCATTATTGCAGAGGTGGTTGACAAATCTTAGTCATGGATTATAGTTTTGATTTCTTGTTGATTTTGGTCCAAATTCATAATTTCTTCATCTTTCCAATTTTGTTTTTGGTATATGGAAATTATTGAGTAGCCGAAAAAGAGATACAAAAGGCCAAATGCCAAAAATAAAATACAAATACAAAGCCTCAAATACAACAAAACCAACCCATCCCCTAGTAAGGGGCCAACTAGCTAACAAACAATAAATTAATAGCACATCAGAATAACCAATAATGCAGAAGAAAAAAACTAATAACACTCGAATGTGAATGCTCTCTAATTCGCAAGGGACTTGTAGCTCAAATGTTTAAAAACATTCATCCATGCACTGAGGTTCTAAGTTCGATTTCTCCAAGTCCGATATCGAAAATATTATTATAATTAAAAGCTGCCGAAGTCCAGCTCATGCAAAATTTCTGATACTACAGAAGCCCATGTTACACCAAAAGCCCAATGATTCCAAAACTGTTACAACAAAAGTTTCTTTCTTTAATGGATCAATCAGATGCTGTGCAAGGAAGCCCAAGTTAACATTTCAAGCCCACTTCTCATGCAGAAGACACAAACTCAAGCTCTTCACATGCAAATCCAAAACCCCAGGGAAAAAGCGCTTTTGCCAACTGCCAAATTCCAAGCATCAATCAACAGTCAATTGCCAGTCAAAAGCGATTTGTATATGAACTTTTGGTGCTGATGGAATCCACGGCATGCCACTTCTTTTACAATCTGCTGGTGCATCAGGAATACTATGTTCTGGGCATCATCATGATTATGGGTCCTCTGGCTGGAAAGCTAAAAACAGGAGTAGTTGAGGATGCCCACAGCAGACTATAATTTAAGATGACCATTTTCAAGCAATAGGGCTATTTCTTGAATCACATATAATTATATAACAAGCAGGCCTATGTTCAACATCTAGGTGCTATCGATTATGCCAGAGAGTTGGTCAAGGGAGTGAGTATGCCCCACTTATATTCAAGTTCGAATCCTCATTCTCGTAGATTATATTAATTTAGAGTAATTTAGATTATCGTACTTTAAAAAAAAAAAAAAAAAAAAAAAAAAAAAAAAAAAAAAAAAAAAAAAAAGTAACAACTAAAGAGCAAAAGGCAAATAGTTTATTTATATTTATATATAAAGTAAACCCGTAATGTTTAAATTTTCAAGTAACCAAAAATTGGCCTCCTTTAAGAAAAAGTTTCAAACCACACTCATTAATTTAAGAGAACAATTAGGTAATTTTCATCGGTGGGCCATACATTTCAAACTCGTTGCATGGTAAACATCAATTAACATGAGCAAAGACAATAAATTAAAGAAATAAAGCTGAAGTAACAAAGTACGACATAAACAAACATTTTAACGAAAAAAAGTGATGATGATGACTAACATGATTGCTTACTTGATTTGCTTGTATGGACAAACCACTTTTAAAGATGCCTGAATTAAATCTTGGTCTTACCAATGATTTGATATGCCTTAATTAAATTAAGACTAGATCGGGAATTCAGTTATTATTTGGGTTGTGCGTAATTCTCTTCACATCAATTTAATATGTTGTTATGTTAGTCATTAGAGTAGATTTACTCACATTCAGCACATAATTGCTTTGTACTTTTGTTTGTTTATAATAATATACTATCACTTATTTCTTACTTCAAAAAAAAAAAAAAAAAAAAAAAAAAAAAAAAAAAAAAAAAAAAAACAACAAAAAAAAAAATATAGTATATTTTTATTAGATGTAAACTGATGTAGTGTAGTAGTTTATTTATTTACATATATATATATATAGTTAAATCATCTCATAAACTTGTTTACAAAAACACCATAACATGTTTCGGACTAAACACCTTAATTTTCGTCAGAATTAACTAAATTTCGAGTGATAAATTCAGGTGAATTAATGTGGTAGGGACAAAAATCTTGTTTCAACCGTTGAGGTTCAAATTTCAGGTGAAGTATAAAAAGATCAGCTAAAGAAGAAGAAGAAAAGGAGATTTAGAGGACAATAATACTGATATGCCAAATAAGAACAAATTGACTATACGCTCACGTCACACCAAACATTTACGCAGCAATTTCAATGCCCAAGTCAAAGTAAGGTCAATTCTCGTAATTTTGTCGAATAACGGGGGCAAATGCATGCCCTCCCTCTCCCGCTCGCCAAATCCACCCCAAGCTCTCCCTCCATAAACCCTAAAACCAGACCCGAAATTAGAGAAGTTTCTGTTCAGAGGAAGACAAGCAGCTTTCCCGAAATTCACAGTTTTCTCGGGATTTTCGAACACTTTCTGACTGTTGATTTTTGCCAATCGTAGCATTACCAGTGGATTCAGCTTCTTCACTGGTAAGTAACTTTTTGGTACTTCCATTTTTAGATGTTCAAATTTTATTTTCTAATTTTTGTTCTGGAAATGATTTGGTAAAAGCTTAAGTTGAGAAAAGAAAGAATAGTTAAAAATCTGAAGTTATACTTCATTCTGGTCTTTGAGCTCGTTTTAGCTCTCTCTCTCTCTCTCTCTCTCTCTCTCTCTCTCTCTCTCTCTCTCTCTTCGTATGGTCTCTTGGCTCTGTTTGGTCGCTGGGGAAAATGGACGAGAGTGAAAAGATAAGATCACTTTATTTCTCTTAACTTATGTGTTAGTAGAAATGAACAAAGTTGGAATGACTAGACTTAGGTACTCTCTGTGTGTGTGTGTCTTTTGTTTTTAAATGACTTGGATACTATTTTATCTTTTGTTTTCTTCCATTTTTGTTGGCACCAAAGCAGGTCGATTTGTAATTTGTTTCCCACTTTCAAGAAATTTAGTTGATTTGACAAGATTAAAATTATCAGAACTTTTTTCATCGATTCTCAACTGGGTATGCTTCTGATATATCTTCTTTTTTCATCTGAAGTTTTGCAGTTCGACAAGTCTGCATGGTATTGGTATTTGTTACGGCCTAAGTGATTAACTTTCTGGGGATTATACATTGTTAGTGGGTACTCTGTGCACTGTCTTGCTGGTGATGTTCTTTCTATAAGTGTGAAGAATCTAAGGGGCTATGGAGAGTTTAGAAGTCATGAGTAATGGCGTTCAATCATGCAATGGAGGGTTGATGCAATTTAGCAATGATGTGAAAGAAAATGATAATCGGGATGTCGACCTACTTGAGGATTTTGATTCTTATTGGCAAGATATCAATGACCGGTTGACCATATCAAGGATGGTGAGTGACTCGGTCATCAAGGGTATGGTGAATGCGGTAACACAAGAGGCAGCAGAGAAAATTGCTGATAAAGAACTAGAGGTGACTAAATTGAAAGAAATGTTACGTGTTTACCATGTGGGTGTTGATGAAAATGAATTGTTGGGGTCTTTAGCAGTGCACCAAGAGTCAAACAGATTTGTCAAAGAAGGTAACAAAGCCAAGATACATCCTAGCTTTCTTGAAGCTGTTTTAGAGCATGATAGAATAGAAGAATCTTTGAGCAGCTTAAGAGGAGCAACTAAAGAGCAGTTCAAGAAGCTGAAGAGAGAAATTGATAGCATAAGAGGGCGTAGCTCAGTTAAGAGAATTGGTTCTAGTTCTCAGTTGTCGGGTTTGAGTGACATACTGCAAGATAAAGTATCAGACAGATGGATTGATGTGGATAGGACGCTCAATTGTCTAAAGAGTACAATAGAAACTAGCTATCAACAGGTGGAACAAATGGTTCGCTTGTCAAAGGCATCAGTATGTGAGTGGCAACAGGAGCAGGAGTTTAAAGCAGAAATTGAAGCACTTGTGATGACGAATTGTATTTGGAGTGCTGAAGAAAAAAATTTATACCGATTTTATGGTGATAAAAATGTGAACGGGCATGGAAGGATGAAAGAGATATCAACCTTACGTCAGGAATTAGACACCATTTCTAAATTGCTATCTGTTTCTGACATTGGGCAGCTATCTTCTCATGGATCCTTGGAAGTTGATGAAGAAAGTAGTAATTTTAAGAAGGGAGACCATTCCCACCGCAAGCTTTTAAACAATCTTAACTCATCATCTCCATCTCCATCACCGTCATCATTGTCAACATCAACATCATCATCATCATCTCTTTGGGAAGAAAATGGCAAGCATGATGAAAATGGCAAGGATGACGAGTCAGAAATAAATATGCAAAAAAGTTTGGATCCTACCCGGGTTATGCATATGTCAAGAGATGAATTGATAAATTATTATAATAATGAGATGACTAAGTTGAAGCGAAATCATGAATCTAAAGTGCAAGATATGATTGAACACCGATTCAGCCGCATGCGGGAATTATTGAAAGAAAGGGGATCTTCTTTGTCATCAAAGAAGAATAAGGAGTTTGACATGTTTAAGAGGAGAATATCTGAGGTTATTTCTAAATTAGATGACTTTCTTGTCGAAAATGAGCAAATAGCTACATCTGGTATCAATGATGAAAGTCTTAGCAGTTTGAAAGACAGACTGGAATCACTCCTTTCAGAAAATCACCAGCTCAGAGATTTGCTCACACATAAGAAGAGAGAAGTTAAGTTCCTTTCACAACAAGTTTCTGAAGCTGCAGAGAAAATGTCAGAGCACTCTCTGGCTGAGGCAAAGTTGTTAAAAACAACCGCAAATCTTAATGCAACTATAGAAGATGCGCATATCGAAGCTTTAATTCGTGAAGATGCATTTTCTTGTATTCTCAGGGGAATAATGGATCAAATTAAATGCATGGTTGAAGAGTCACAAGTGGAGTATAATCTTCTGCAAGAAATTTACAAAAGTACATTTAAAGAAGCTGCACACAATGGTGAACCTACTAGCCAATGTGAAATTGAAGATTTGAATGTGGAGACCATCATCAAGCAAGAACTATATGTAGTTGTATTCAGAGAAACCTTGAACGATGCCGAGCAGAAACTCAATGACCTGAATATGAAATATACCAATGAAAATCAACTTCGGGTTTCGCTTGAGATGGAAAATCTAGACAAAAGAGAAAAATTAGAAGTTGAGGTTGCAAACAAAGAAAAGTTAAAGCAAGAAGTACTCTTTCTGGCAGAAGAAAAGGAGCAGTTGGCACAGGACGCAGCAGCTGCCTTGGAAAAGGAAAAGGAGCGATATGAATTAGCTGCTCAAGAGCTTGAAAATTTAAGGGATGAGACATTTCAGCAACAGAAATTGATTTCAGAAGGTATTGAAGAGTCAAATGCTGCACGTCATAATTTGGTTTTGGCATTGGAGCAAATTGAAATACATAAGGCAGAGATATGCAAGTTAGATCAGAAGCTTGAACTAGCAATGAAAGAGTTGGGGGAAGTTAATGAGGAGAGAAGGATGCTTCTTGATGTCAACCAAGAGAAGAACAATGCTGTATCTTTGTTTGAAACTAAAGAAAGGGAGCTCAAGGAGCAATTGAAATCAATAGCTGTCTATAGCCGCGGATTACTGAAAGTGGTTACTGATTTTGAATGTAGAGTAACACAAGATATTTCAGGGAAATGTTCAAGGTACTTGAGTTTTTGTTACCTATAAGTGCTTTACCTCTAAATGCCTTTTGTGCTCTAATTCTATGTATAAAATTGATTCCACACTCTTGCATGATTCTTGAGACCTGTAATGCTTTGTTAATCTTATAGGTTGTACGTGTCTACTTTCAAAATCTGCATATGCATGTAAAAGATTTTGATTTTTTGAGTGCCTAGAAAGAGGTGGGTATGAGAGCAGAAATGATATGTATCAGATCAATTTGCTTACTTTGACAACATTTTTAGTTAACCTGTAAAGTTAGCCTTGTAAGTTCTCAGTTTCTGGAATGGAATGATACTTCTAGAGCACACCTTTTATAATGTTAATGTGATTACTTCTAGATGATTCCTTAATTTATTCTTTAGCTAGAGAGATCCAGCGAGTTGGTGCTAAATTTATTTAGCATCAAGGACCTCTGGATTCCACTGACATTTGCTACGCAAAAGCTAATGTACCTGTGACTTTGTTTCCAGGTTGAAGCGTTTGAGTTCTCAATCGCATTCACTTAAAGAAAAAGCTAATGTACTTGTAAGAAGAGGGTCGCTATACAAGCAGAGATTTGAAAGGAAATGTTCTGATCTTGAAAAGGCTGAAGCCGAGGTATGTAAATCAGATAGGTATTATGCATATTTCAACTTGATGTTTAACCTCAGATTGTCTTTCATGCTATGAAACTCATGTAAGTGAATTGTTGCTTGCATATACTTATGGGAGAAAACACTTTGAGATGCTTTGTTGGATGATAGTGGTATTTTAAATATAATTGGAAGTTATCTTCCATTACTGGCCCTGATTTCCTTTCCGTTTCACAGTATTAAGCTTTAGTTTGTACTATAAAGTGTTATCTTCATATGTACTATTACTTTGCCATTTTTCATATATATATATGTGTGTGTGTGTGTGTGCGTGTGTGATTATGTGGGACGCTGAATCTGGCCTTCATAATTGTAGAGTAAGATTCACCCATTGCATTGATCAGTAAGAATGCGGTTTCCCACAGAAGATATTTATATCTCTTTCTCAATAGCATCTATCTATCCAATGCAAGAAAAATAGAATTAAAAGAAGCGATCAACATGCATATATAATATATAATTCTCTCTCTCTCTCTCTCTCCTCTCTCTCTCTCTCTCTCTCTCTCTGTGTGTCTGTGCGCATGTGCTTCAAATCACTTGACTATGTACTAAATATGTAATTCATATGCACATGTACACATATTATGAGGTTTTACTACATAGAAAATTATCTTTTCTACTTCAAAAGTCTTGGAGTTAATGTGTTTGAAGGTTCAACTAGATGTATTTTTAGTATACAAGTTATAAATTTTTTTATTACAGATAGCTTTCAAAGTTTTTATTCTCTAGGTCATAAAAACATTAGAAATGGTCTATACCATGTATTTTTATACAGAGACCGTAATAAACTTGTAATTTTGTAGCTTATATAATGGATTATATTTCATTGGATTTCAGGTTGATCTTTTGGGGGATGAGGTGGACACTCTATTGAGCCTTGTTGAAAAAATATACATTGCCCTTGATCATTATTCACCAATATTGCAGCATTATCCTGGAGTAAGATGCTTTCTTCTGTTCATTCGTGATTTATCATATAAACACATTTCGTTTATATTTTTTGGGTACCTGTGTGCAAGGATGAAATTGATGGAAATGTCGGTTGTCTGTATTTAAGAAATTATAGATGTCTGTGGAAACAACAAATAAAATTATATGGAATCAATGAAACTTTACTTAAAAACATGAAAATTGTGGGAATTTTTTTTTAAAAAATGGCAAACTCAATCAATTATTCATCAATTGCACTGGTAAATTTCATGCACAAGTGACAAATCTATGACATT